AGGTGGGTCGCAGGTGTAGGATCGACAGAGAAATGATTCGTCGCAAATATAAAAGGAGTTTAAGAGATTTTAGATGTTTGAAAACGACTCCCGGACAGACATAGGCCCATTTGTGAATCGTATGTTGGTGGTGATGAGTTTTTGTTCGACTTTGTTCCGGCTGTGAAATCTCTACCAACTGATTTTTCGACCAAAATATGGAGTGCAACTCCTTCAAGTCGAAAATCCTTAAAATAAAATTCATCCCACCCCATTTTCGTGACTGAATCTCGGCTCTGGGAGAATATTTCGCTCTCGGGTTCGTAGAGGGCACCACTGGCAGGTGTTCAGCCTTCGCCCTCCAGGTCCACTCTATGATTTTGTTTTGTTTTGTTCACTTACGTGCTAGGTATAGTAATTCCCGTTGCACTCCTACTGGAGCTTAAGCACGGGTGGGGCCGGGCTGGATCAGGATAACTACCATTAAGTACACCTACCTCGTCCCACCTCAGATTTCACACATATGTTGAATCATGTCAAGCCCAACCGTCCAGAGAACCCCCTTTTGGCGCGCCGAAGCGCATATTCCCCCTCAGCCTCGGCCACCACGCGCCCGAGCCCTTGACACCTTCGCCATCTATAACTTTTCCCTTCGAATCATTCCCAGCTTTGGCTCATCTCAGCATCTCAGCATCTCCTCATCTCATCCAGGTGTCGTTTTCTTCACTGGGGGCCTCATCCAGTCGCCCACCAAGGCCTCCTCAGTTTTTGCTCCCTTTTGGTTCCTTCATGTAGCATCCCTCTATCCTTCAGCCGATATCATCATCCAAAAAAATTTGTAGAATGTCCACCCCTCCGGCCTTGCCCCGTCGCTGCCGTACCCCTAACCGTGGAGGTCGAAAACGCGACTGAGAGCTCAAGTCCGAGGCACCGGTGCCCCAGCCTTTGTCGAATGCTCTAGTTGGTGTGCTGGCGAAATGTCGTACTTATTTCGTCGGTGGCGATTCGTCACAGGTCGAGTTGTTGGTGCCCTTGGCCGAGGTGAGGACGCATCTAAGGCCGGTATTTCGACCGTACCTTCACAGCGACTGGCAGTTGCGGAAGGTCGGACATCCCCTTGCTTCTTAGTTGGCGATTTGGCTTTTGGAGGTATGGGATTGCTTCGGTAGGTAGTGAGATGATTGTGGAGAGGGCCGCAAGATGAGTTTGGAGATCCACTCTATGAGTCTCGTTGCTTGTAACTTTTCCTTAGTTCGAATACTTAGTGCACGTCCACGCATTGTTTCAATTGCTTGGTTATTAGCACTGTTTCTTTGAGACTTGTCTGTCATTCACCAACAGTCCTATCATCAGAATCCTCAACAATGCGCTTACTTATTCACCTAAGCCTTAGCAACGGCCGAACCGTAACAGGAGAGCATAGAATAGTAGATATTTGTAAGGATTCTGGATAAATGCCTCAGGCAGGATTTATGGGTTCCTTGTTTAGCACCACTAGGCTTTTTTTTTAAATCATTTTATGTGTATTCAGCTATCTAGCTATCAGACATGACCAGTGCTATGTATACATGTGGGATGACTCTTGACGTTGGAGACACTCATACTCTGGATTTCATTCGCAAATACCACCACATGGTATTTTTGCTTCTTCAAACTATCGACCCTCCTCCGTAAGCACCCACCAAAGGGAATTTCGAAACCTTTGGTTATCCAAGCATGCCTTCGTCATCCATGCATACCAGCGCCGCGAGAAAAGTGGTTGTGTTTTGCTGGATTTGAACCAGCGATCTACTGTCTCGAGTGGGATAAGTGTCCCATTTATCCAGATTCTACTTGGCAGACTGGCCAAGTCGATGTACCACCGCACCATCCAACCACGGAAGTTTTTATAGTGTCGCCTGCACTCACCACTAGGCTTATTGCCTAGCGAGGATAGATATGTAGTTTCCATTTCCGAGACCGAGATCTTCACGCTTTGTTTTATGTCCTTAGGAATAGTTACATAATTCTAATTACATCTCACTCTCGTCCTCTGCCACCCACAGTGACCTACCGTCACCTTCGGCCATTTTATCCAGAACGACTTACCGCGTTCTTCTTTATTATCTTTCTAGAAAGCTCTTTAGGTTTCCACGAGGCGTCCATCCTCAGTACATCGTACGTTACGCCATCCCTTACGCCTATTGAACCTGCGCCTGAAAATAATGAATAACAAAGCCTAATAATATGAGTGATAAAATTCGTTTTTATTTGTTTCCGTCATGATTGTAGACAGAAATAATATATACAAATATACGAACAGTTAACAGGAGGATAGATCTTGCCAACTGGACGGGAATGTACGGTGAACAACAAACCAAGAAGACACATACAGAGATAGTGAAAGTTATGGTATATCAAGAGTGGGCGAAATCCTGGGCCAAGCAGAAACAAACTCAGAAGACTCGGTAGTTAGCAACTGCTGATTCCGAAACTTGGAGAGCAGCCACATTTTACCAAAGTAGAGAGTCTGGACGGCAAAAGCTGAGTTTTCAAGGTTCGCCATTCTTCCTACACCGTAACCTGACAAGGGCCCAGAGCAGTTTGGCAATGCAAATACGAAGTGAGCACATGGGGCTTAACTCGTATTTACATAGAAGAATCGTACCCGGAGTATTAAGTCCAGGTTGTCCATGCGGCTACCAATCACAGAGCCCCAAGCATATGATTATGTCCTGCCTTCGATGATCAAATGGTAGAGCTGAGATCTGGAGACAAGCCAGAGATCGATCCTACGAAGCGATGATAAACAATCCTGGAGATATAAAAAGGATAACACAGTGGATCCTAAACCATGGTTGGATAGAGCAATTCCAGATGACAAAAGCGGTCGAAATACTGCTGAGGGAAAGGAAAAGGTCAAATAATGCTTGGGGAGGATAGAGATGATCTGGTTAGTTTACATGGATGGCACTATAGTGTAACTGTGCTTCCTGAAGAAAATTTGTGAGAACTATAGACAACAGATAGAAAGATGTGGGAGGTTTTCACCATAAAAGTTTCCTTCCGGGTAAATATTATAGACTGTAGACACCTGCATGTGCCCATAGGGCGCCAAATCAGGATAATGAAATCAAATTCAAAATATATACAAATAGGATGCCCACTATACAATACATCAGCGTCTATCCAGAACATTCAAGAGTAGCACCTTTTTTCCATTCTATCCCCGTCCACTCTGTACTTTTGCGTAGCTGAGCTCTAACAGTTGGTTTTAATTGTGGCTGTATAGGGACTATACAGCCCCGCAAAGATGTAACAATTCCCTGTATATAGGCAGAGATATATTTATAGCAATTGCGATAATCATATCACAACAGCCATGTGAGCAGCTTGAGCTGTAGACTCATAGTGTTATTCCTCTGTATAAATACGATTTGAACCCTAGGTGTTCACTTCGAATTTGCATTGAAAGACTACTTCTGACCCTTTACAAATTTTCTATGAAGTTAAAATAGCGATTTCACAAGACCCATTTTATAAGATTTAGCTTGTTGACTTCGACCAAAAAAAGAAAAAAAAGCTAGCTTCGATGAAGCTAAGCTAATCTCCAAGTAGTGGGGTCCGCTATAGATGGCATTCGAGGCCGCTCCAGTCGTCTACTTTTAGTATACTGCGACCTTTTCAGCCTCTTCATGTTCTAGATTTCATGCATTTTCCGACTTTATTTTGAAATTTTCTTATATCAATGAACACTATTTGAACTGATGACACATATAAAGACGCCACGATAAACAAAACTTTATCTTTGCAGCAGAGAGAGGCTGAAAAATCGATATCTCTTCTGGTTAACAAAGTAATATGCCATATCACAAGATATTGTAAATTTATGACACGTGAATATTAAATAATTGTTGTAGAATTGGCTTATAAACCATCTGCTTAGAAATTTGAAGCATATTTATTTCTGGTAAACCAACCGATAGTTAGATAGACGGGATAAAGAATTTCTATCACTTGCTAACCAAAAGGCTTAAATATATCCATCGATAGACTATATAATACAAAATAAGTAGCCGCAAATGTCGGAAATTTGTAGATTGCGAGATCTTATCAGAGTTGAGCTATCGAAGTGTCCTTCGTTCTTCTTACAAGGCCATCCTAAATGCTAGTAAAGCGTTAAACGTACGACTAAACCTTCCTTGAGTTGATTTTAAGAAAATAAATCATTTAGGAACAAACAAGTTAGGCGTGAGAAATTCATATAAGTACCGTGTAATGAATTTCAATAGAGTTGGTAGACTATCGGTGAGACACATAGAAATTCGAAGATGTATCACCTGCTAGAGGTAGCCGATAATGTACAGGCAGCTAGATGTGAATATTCTCTCGATTATATCTCCCTATAATATTCGAGCTATCCATGTGAGGATTACCCAATACCGTGAGAAAGCTAGCCATAGATTTATACTGAGATTATAAATCTTCGATAAAGTCCACTAAGATTGCATCGGTTGGAAGACATTCTCACGGTATAGATCTGTACAAACACAGTAAGGCTAATCCTGTATAGTTTGCATCATTTTCTGTAGATTTCTACAGGCTATTCTCTGTGGACTTTCCTGTTATATAAGCCGGATGGTAAGAAGTCAAGGCTTTTGCAAGGCTGAAGTCTTAGTCTGGTTGAACTTGTTAATACCGAGTCGGTCTTGATTTCAGGGTTGGAGAAAGCTTTCCACTATAAACACTTCATAAATTAATTTTATAAAGTGCACATACTATTATGGAAATGGTTTCTTCAGGGTACCATACATCTGACGCCCCAAAAATTTTGTGCCTATTATTTTTCAATACTTTCCACAATTACCACCTCTGTAGTAGCTGCAAACAACTTTGGCTTATTTGATGGGATTTGACTCTCGAATCTCGTTAAATTACATCTTGTTTCGAGGGATGACATTGGGTCATTTCTTTGGGAGTAGTGAGGAGAGCGGTATAGATTGACTATGAAGCTAAGCCTATTTTTCTGCAAAGTGTTGCAACTATGAGTACCGAGAAAGTTTAGACAGTCGCTTTATACAAGCTTCTATTTCGAAAATCAATTGATTAGCTTTTGTTAGATTTGTATTAGGGTTTGTATTATTGGCTGTAATTTCGGAAAGGAAGCAGTTGATTGATAATTCGTTGCGAGAGAGCGTATTCAATTTACATGATTCAAAAACTTGGTGATTGATATCATGAAGACCAATTTCAGGGTTAGAAATTTTGTTATCGTTGAGTAAGTTTGTATTTTTCTTCGGAGCTATATCTGGAATCAAATTATGCTCAATTTGTTGAGTGAACCCAATTCTTTCGTCATTTCTTCCATTAACTTTCGTGGTAAATGATTCCGCGTCTAAAAATACTTCAGGTAGGCTTAGTAAGGAAAATACTCGCGGTTGGTAGGAATTTCCTTCATGTAAATGATCAGAAATAGAATAATCTATTCGAGTCTCAGGCGGGTATATCATGCCGATATTAGAATTCTCTATCTGTATTTGATTAAAATGAAGATCAGTTTCTTTAGGCAGTCGGGATCGATGTTGTTCTATTTGTTGTTGTTGCTGTAAAGTTGATGATGGCTGTTTGTTAGCATAATCAACGGATAATGACTCTACAAAGCCAGAAAAAGATGAAGAAGATAGGAGTGAATGAGTAATATCAGTAAGGCGAGTATTCTCAGCTATTAATGCTTGATTTAAAGCACAAAGATCTGCATTTTCAGTAACTTTAACAGCAATCTCATCTTCAAGCTGATTGATATATTCTATATAGGGTTAGAAATAATATTCTTACGCATGGGGGGTTTATACCCTTTCTCCTCGACCTGAACGCACGGGCAGAGACCTTATTTCGGAGTTGTCGACGCTCTTTGCTGCTGAGTTTTTTTCCTTCTTCACTTGCAAGCAGTTTTTCATCTTCATCGATATTTTCTGTTCTGAATGAGCTGTTGTTTGGGTCATAATTATTGAAAGTTATATCTGTATAATCGTCGCTGCATATGCTACCGTTTCTCATTGATTTTAAGAGTTGCGTAATTTTCTCCTCCACAACAGGATCTTTTGACATGTGTGCAGTTTTTAGCTTGGAGCGCGATGTATGCCTCGAGTGACAACTTTTAACAATATTATGACGCTGCAGCTGTGTGGTTTGCTTATGCTTCTCATTGGTAAGTAGACCTGCTTGTTTTTGATGAATACCTGGCCATAAAGGGTCAACATTGTTTGCCGGAGTTTTGGCGGTAGATAGAGATTGACCACCAGTTTCCAGATTCATTAATTCTGTAGGTAATTTTGTGGAACAGCCCAATTCTGAGATAGAATTTGTATCACCAAAGTTTATGTTCAAATCAGGTGGGTTGAAGGTGTTGGAATTAGACGGAGTAGTGTGAAAGTTTGTAATATCTCCTAGATTATTGTTGTTATAGAAATATGTGTTTTGCAGTCGGTTAATATTTAACGTGCTTGCAATAGCGTCCTTGGGGATACCTGTTTGTTGCCTATATTGATTGTAATTTTGGCCTGGACCATTCAAGACAGGAGGCATAAAGGACGAGCCGGTTAAGTAAGGTAATGCCGTTGAATAACTCTGAGTTTTGGGGATAGATACGGATGCTAATGTGGAAGGGGTTGCTGGTGATCGCTGGGATGATAATTGCATTTTGCAGCTGGGCATGTTAGTCAACGCATTTAAGCTTTTCTCTTCTGCCATTCTGATGTGAATTTTTGTTCAGTTACAGGAACCTGATCCGATAAGGATAATATATTTTTATCTTTGTGCCCCTCAGCTTTCTTTTATTGAGTATAACTATTGCGGTTTGAGGTAGAAGTATTTGTATAGAGATGTGGATGCCCAGTTACTACGAGGGATTTTACATTGTGAGGGACTAGCAGGGGCTGTTAAGACTGTCTGGGTACGCAATGACCACTCGCCGCCTCACGGGAAGACGGGAAGCGTATGCTTGCATGATGCCCAGAAGTACCAAAATAGATTGCGACCCGCTCTGATCGACTTCCGTTAATAACTTCTCATTAACAAACGCAAGGAGCAGGCGGTCGATATTTTAAAACTGAATTTAATCTCTGAAATCACTTTTAATCTCGTAGATTATTAGTAAATGCTTTCAACTCTCATGAATAATTCCGGGTAAAGGTATTTTTATCTGATTAGCTTCATTCACATTAGGATATTGAATATAGGTAACTTCATAGCCACAAATAACAACAGTTTGAAGTCTATATTTAGAGATTTTAAATGCAGTATCAATCACTATTTCTGGTTAACTCATTTATAGCTAGTGTTGGAAATCATTAGAACTACGAGTAAGCGAAACGTCCGCAAGAAAGTTGGTATGGGAATAACGAAGTAACTTATCGCAGTCTTGGTGGATACTCGGTTTTGATAACTTGAAGAAACATCTCCTGATATGCATTCCTAGCTCTCACCTGCTTAAAACTTCTGAAATTTCGTTGAGCTATTCAAGACGAACAAGTGTAAGTCAAATTCTTAATGGAATGGAGTTTTATCTTTGCTTGTATGGTCTTAGAGCACAAATAAACCTACTTTTAGAATGTGTTGTGTTCACTGCCCTGAAGCCAAGTTCTCAAGTTTGTTCGTACTGACGGTTGGCAGTTTCGCGTCTGACAGCTCCAGACCACTAGCCGGTCTGCGCATATTCTCGGGGCCCAGAACGCATCCTGCGGGTCGGCCCTGCGATTTGGCAACTCACTAAGCTTGTTGCAGACTAGGGTCTTTTGTACCCCTTGTAACACATACCTTCTGGGACGCCCTTGTACGCATCTACACCTGAATAGAGGTAATAGATCGGATAACCTCATGCATTACGTCAGACCTGGCCAATTTGATAATCATTTTTAGTCATTCTTTCGCATCAAACTTAAGCCATTTCTCTTTGCCTGACGTGCGAAAGCTCGCATGTATGACTTGTAAATGCCCGCTTTCCCAAATAAACTTTACGAATATGAGCCAGGATATCGTAGGGACGAATGAAATGGTGCAACTTGATCGATAGACCAAAATTGTTGCGCCAGGTTTTCTACCCTTCATAATGTGACTGCATTTGCAAGTGATGGTCCTAAGAAGTTAATTACAGGCGAATTATATCGTTTAAAATAATCTCATGGATCGTAATGCTCAATGATTAGTCATGTCATGGGAAGAATTTGACCAACCCTCCAGGAATAAAATGTATCCTATCCCTACGGAAATGGTCACTTAGACGGACGTCTGTCACAGTAAAATTGTTGCGCTGCCTCAGTTGAATTGCTGGGAGACAGGGGAGAGGTGGATGGGCTGCTGCATTAGGAAAGAGTGGGAAATACAGGCTGGTGCACAGACGCTGTTCAAGTACTTTACAATCTCTGCACCTGCAGAGTTTTGTGAATTAAGCTATCCAAATAATATCATACTTCACATCATCTAATGGATGACATGTTCAATCGATGGAATGCGCATCTAATATCTCCTTCACAGATCACCATTTTCAGTAAGAGTTCACATTTCATACCTACTGAAACCCATTGGCCACTGCAATACGTACTTAGTATCAATCGTGCCATGAACCCAGCATGGGCGCACTATCTCCGCGACTCACCAATGCGAATTGCAAGACTGAACACCTGTACGCGGTATCCTCTACGAACCTGGGAGTGAAATAATTTCTTAGGGCCCATTTCAGTCAAATTTCGCAATATCAAAGAAGTTGGCCCACGAGGCAATGGTTTAAAATACTCCACCATGTCCAAGTTTTACTCCCGACGAGATCGACACTTACCTAAGTACGACCAGGCACATCCTCATCCCTATGACCACACAACTCCTCGACCTTCTCTGGCCTCAGCCGGTCACCAAATACACGCCCACGCCGATATTTATACCCGACGGAGGAAGCAAAGCGTGGCGTACAAATCTGGAAGACAGTTCTTTGGGACGGACCTTAGAGTGGTCAGGACAAGTTGATAAGATGATGCGACGGATGGATACAGTCTCGACGGGCGTGAAATTTCGAAATTTGGCACGGAGTTTTTACAAATTGAGCTTTGTGTGTGCCAAGTCTTCGGTTGTGAGAGTGCAGCTGACACTATAAAAACAAGCCAACGATGGAAGGTGTTATGGTCCGCCTCCTGGTGGTGTTCTCTGGTATGGTTTAAGTAGCCTGGGCACCTACTCCACTTGGGAAGGAGACATCTCAGATCACATTTCGCGCGGAGAAGAGGAAATGGATATGGAGGCATGTCTGGATACCTCAGGGTTTTTGAGACGTTCCCCTGAGTGGGTATTCACGGATGAAGGTTGACTTGGGGTGAAGAAAAGCCGCCATAACTTCGCAGTGGTACTTGCAAATGAAACTTGAGGCATGAGTGCTCTTCCTTTACGTTGAATCATCTATTCTGTACATTTCTCTGATATTGTGTCATAGCTAGCTCGCTGCATACGCAATTAAAATCTAATGCGAAAAATAAAATTACCAATGCCCATGAGCCCGTGCTACTCCATCGACGGACAGCAGAGTCATATCATTGCTATACACCTCTCAGCTCATAACCACAACAAGCATGCTATTTAAATAATACTCAATGAATGATTTAGAATCCTCAATATTCTGGGCTCTAGTCTATTTAGGACCTTACAACCAGCAACGATACTTGAAATTGCGTTTCCTTTCTATCACAGAGGATAATAGAGTTGCACCTTTCAATACCTGCCACCCTACCATTTCACTACTTTATCTACGTAATTAAGGCAGGAAAAAATGATTTCTTAACCTTCAAGTAGTGCCGGTGTAATCGCTCAGTATGCTCTGAATATCTGGGATGGCCGAGAAGAATTGTATCCAAATCGAAGTCAAAAGCAACCTCAAGTATATCTAAATTCGACGACTCCTCGTTGATGTCAGACCTATTATCCTCTCGCGAGTCCTATACCTCCACTACAAATAAAGGCGTTACTCTAATTCCGATCGGGATTTAACTCATCATAAATCGGCTATCTCTCACTATAAAATTACGATGCTATGTATATACGCGAGTAGGAAACCAAGTCGCAATATAGAAAGCTCGAGTCTTATTCAGTAGAGGGCCGTTGATCTAGTGAGGCTTAACATCTTGAAAGGGGACAGGCAGCTAGGATGTGGCACGAGCGAGTGAAGAGGTCACAAATGGGCATGCTGGAACTCACATTTTTCGAGAGTTTTTGAATTTTAGATGCTTGTTGGCGGCAAGATTACGATTTGGAAAGTACCGACGATACTTTTGCAACAGTCAACGATGGAATATGTTGTAGTCCGCTCTCTGGTCGTCACTTCCCTGAATTAAATTCTGGGCATCCTGGACACCTACCTGACCCGAAAAATGGAGGATTATGAGGCCATATCTCGCGCTCTTCGCATATATTCAAAAAAATAAGAATGAGCTTCCGACATTCTCATCATGCTGCATGTTCACAAAAAGCGTCCAAACGCCATGTTGGACAACATGAGAGTAAGCCAGAGAGCTTTCGATCAGACAACGAGCATCGTACACTCTCCAAAATGCGTGGAGATGGGCAAGGACTCAAGTATAGGGAAAGAAAAAGCCCTTGCTATCTTTTCTGCGCCCGATACTGACATGATCGAGTCAGTCGAAATTATTGAGGAGATTTCTCAACCACTCTCCATATCCTACTGGATAGGAGAACCTCCCAAATCTTCTCCAGCCGTATCAAAACCATCGGAGAACGCTGCGCCAAAAACAGCACCCAAACTAATGTCGCAACCAACAGCTGCTACAAAAGCAGAATGCCCTTTGGAACTTCGACCGATTCTTGGGGGCGAAGAACGAGGCGCCGCCCAGACAGCAGCAAATTTGTCACTCTGATCTACCGCCATCTCTGGCGTCAAAGCAGCCCTCCTTACTTTGGCCAGAGGGTCAAATAGACGCTCCTTAGACTCCATGAGAGTCTACCTGCGCGCTGCCATTTCGCAATATATGGCTACGGGTACGGTCACTTCTATTGAAAGGCTATGCTGAGCTGGAATGACGTACCGTTAGGATGAAGGTATGGAAGGAGGTAGCTATGGCTTTAAGAGAAGTAAAGTTCGTGAGTTATACTCTTAGGACTTGGATCAATGGACGAACTTGAGGATATTCCCTGGTATTCTCAAGTGTGTGAATAATATGGAGATTGTTTGAATTTCCTATTGTATGAATTGCTTGATTTATCTACGTGACAGGACCTTCCTCTATATACATGAACAAGGGGGTTCTGCACACTAGTGGATGTTCCAACATCTGTCCTTGTCTAACCGAGAAAGGAAGGATGTGAGAGATCCTAGCGCCAATAGATACCATTAGGAATCTATTGGGAAATACTATGTCATACCAATGAGTGATGATTTAGGTCAATCATATCCCATGGCGCATGTGCACATTATTATAATGTGATCAGTTTATTGTAATGCAGTCATGTTACTCCCTTAATTACAACAACTTCGCCGCCCGTCCTTCTCGTCCGGTGGATCATCACCTGATGGCATCCGATGCCAAGAGCACAATTATTCTCAGAGTCCCAATGCCATCTACAAAAAGAACCTGGGATACTATGGCACTAGATGGATTGCAACAAAAAGCAGTCCCGATAGTGAAAGCTGTGCCTCCACCTGCGGCTACTATTCGACTTTAGTTATCTAGATATTCAGACATATAATGAATATG